ATGCCGCGCAGGAAAGGCGACGCGTAGTATGACAGTGCACAGATGCGAAGGCGCCGACACATCCGTTCCCGCTACAACGATCGTGACGAGACTGCCCTAAAAGGTATGTCGCCTTTCTGCAAGCGATCTGGGTAGCTCGCCGAGCGGGCCGCAGGATATACACGTCACTGAGAGAGTACTCTTCCCGAAACATGAATGGCGCAAATATATTTGTCGTAAGCGTTCCCATCAGACTCTTTCGAGGGACGTGCGCCATGCAGTTTGATAGTCGGTTCCAACGCTTTAAGAGCCGATGATGGCGGTAAGAGGGAAAGCACGCTCGTCGCTGGAGTGCTAGGCTCGGCTGGCTCGGGCCGCGCACGCGTCGCGCTGTCGCGCGTTCGTGTCAGCGTGATTTGTGATGCGCACCCTAAGTGCCACGCTCGCGCGTCCGTTGTGCGAGACCTGCTCTTGACCATCATGTTTGTGGCAGACCACTATCTGACCACTGTATCGTCACTCGTTGAGCTCAATGAGTCAGGACTCTCAACAGATTCATCACAATTCTCCCTCACGTAACCAGTCTCCCATTCAGTTATGGTAGCTATCACAAGGCAAGATATGATACCATATGGCGCACACGACGATGAGCGACACAGTTCCGGTAGCGAGTGAAGGAAGAGCGTGTATAAGCTGGGTATAGGATGGAACCCGATGACTACTAGTGTCCTCTACTTGCCCCCTCCTCGTAATCCGGCGGTGGCCCTTCCGTGATGCTCGATCCATCTCCTCCATTCCGGCTCCTGCGGCGTTGTAGATCCGACAAAGCCCCACCAACGCTCAAGAGCAGGCGTTGGAGTGCACTCGCGTCGACGGGAACCATTCCTTCGTCTCCTCCTTGGTCTTGGCCGATCAGCGCACGCGCTGAAGAAACCGACCCTTCCCCACTGGCCGGAGTCGGGCGAAGGCCCGGCGTGTGCCTATGCTTCGAGAGAGAGCGATCGCGCTCAGATAACGGGTATTGCTCGTTCGTCGCATAGAAAGGATCCGCGCGAGACTCATCGTTCTCGCTCACATATCCACGCGCGCGACGCTTGCGACGGCGGCAGTAAAGACCGACAAGGATGGCCACAACGACAACTGTCAAAGCGCCTACAACACCGCCTGCGACCGCGCCTGTTCGAACACGAGATCGCATAGATGAGTCTGAGCTGGCGGGACTGCGTAGATGTGGCAGTGAGCTGGAAAGAGCAGAGTAGGTAAAAGTAGTCATGTGCGTACCTTGGCCCTACACCCAGGGCGGTGACGAAGAGCTGGGATGCTGCGATCTGCCCAGGGAGGTTGAAATCGGTCAAGTTCAGAGCGGGCTTCTCCCAGCTTGGTCCGTAAATTGGCTGATTGATGGTAGGAACCGTATAGTTGGCCAGCTCTCGGACGGCATTGTATTGAACCGATATGTATTGCTCGGTGAGATTTTTCACAGTATCATTGAGGAGGCCTGTCAAGAAACACTGATAAAGGCCTTCAACTAAAATGGCTTTTGCACTTCAGTATAGGGTATGATAGCAAGAAATAGACTTATAGCGGCAAAAACTCACATTTCCGCGCTCCACCAGGGTTCTTATATGATATATTTTGTGTCGAATTCGTAATGGCATCTGCCGAGGAGGCTCTGTGAGAGCATGAAACCACTCATCGCGTGGATAATAGCATGTACTTTCTTTGTTGATACCATTGGTGTCTGTCCAATGAGGGGTCAAGATGAGAGATGCAGCTAGCTCGTTCACGCTGGGGTGCGATCAGCAGGGATGGAGTGCGGGCAAAGACATCACGCACTAGTCCAGCTCTTCGGTCGTAGGTGGTTCACTCCTGTAGGCGTAATATGCACTTAGACCTTGTAAAAAGAAGCCACTACTATCGGTGTGTGACGTCTGCGTCAATGCGCAGGTGCCGTAATCATAACCATCGAAGATCATGGTGCCGTTTGAGAGAAATGCCTTCACAAACGCAATCGACGTCGCTGCTCGATCCAGATAAGTCTGGTCTCCTTCCAGATGGTATAGCCGTGAAGATAGGCTTGTGGAACGAATCAGAACTGTCGTTTACGAAACGATATCCATGGAGGCTCACATAATCCAGGAACCAATCGTCTCTCCATTGACACTCGGTGGTCCGGCCCAAGTCAAAGCACCAGCAACGGAGACTCGTGAGCTTCCTCCTGTCAAGGGTGCTAGTTGTATTGAGTCAGAACTTCGCTCATCCCACGCATCGATGAAAACCTCACGACAAGTTGAGTTGAAGTTCCCTGTGCCGGCGACGGAGCCTGCAGAAGCATCCGCTGCAGTCACAAAAGAAGATGACGCAGTAGTCCAGAGAGAAACGGCTTCAGTGACTAAGTCGCTCTCTTGTGAGGCTTGGCTGTATGCGAGGTGGGCAGAGAGGTATGCCAATCCCAGCCGCCTTAACATGGACATTTAGTCGCATAAGTAGTTCTGCATCGGAGAAACGCGCGCACAGCCGATAACTATTGTACTATGGGCGCTCGTCACCGTCTCACGATAAACGTCACGATGCCAAAACTCACCCTGTAGTTGAAAAATGAGTCAATATGAAGTCAGGGTGTGGATGAATACGCACTGCAGATTTGTGAAGTCCGTAGTTTGGGCAAACGCGTATAATGCAGCAGGTATGTCGTCCATGAATCGGGTGGTATTAGAGCGACGGTCGTACTCCGAAGATGCATAGAATATCTCGGCCGCCTGAATTATACGAGAGGCTGCGATAATGTCAGCTTATCCGAGCGTTAGAAGTGCGAAGGAGATACCGTTTCCACTAGTATTTGAAAGGGTATTGTGCGGATAAGTGATGTCTAGTACGTTTCCTGCCAGAGAAAGACGGTCATTGTAGGAGAGAGAAATCAGCGGTTTCTGTCAGCTAGTGAGCTTATACAGGACCGAGTCACCACCGGAAATGAACTCACCCGCCAGCTCTCAGTCTGAGGAAAAGACTGGGCCACAGTAAGCGTCAGCAGTGAGAAGACAGTAAGCAGAATGAGATGAAAACAATGGATTAGCATCGTGGGTGCCGTGACGGGAATTAGCGACACTCGCGCCGGCGAGCTGTCTTTATACGCATGAGCGGCACGTCAATTCCGCCGAGAAAGCGCTGGAATAGGTAACACTATAACTTTAGGGGCTGAGGAAGATCAGGATGGATCATGACATCCGCGGATACCCGCCCGCAATTGCTATCGATCCTTGTGACTTTTACGGGCATATTTGATGCCTGTGTCGAGAAGAGTGCGTAGATGGTAACACCTATGCCGCATTGAAAACTTCTCAGAGGCGCTCAGGGAGCCGGGGTTAGGTCCTGATGATAGCGGTGTCCATATCAAGGCCGCAGTGTGATGTGGCGCGGTCTTTTCATCCTCTTGAGGGTACCGTCGGATGGCAGCAAGTCGACGGAACGGCACGAGCGGTCTGCACGAGGAGCGTTCCGTATCCATATGATCGTGACACGTATAAGCCTAACAGAGCGACTAACGCCCTAGTGAAAGTTTTGCGTCCCTGTGCAAGCTGACGTAGCTAAACGATGGTGGTGGTCAAGAGCCAGACCGGCGCTTGCGCTCTTCCTTCGACTTGGACTTCTACCATGACCACTCGGCGCTGGAAATCGTAGTGCCCCGCCACCGGCGCAGATCTCACTCTGCACCGATATCCTGCAAATGTGTCGTCAACTTATATCAGTGCTCGACATTCTCCGCGGACGTCCACCGCATATGACGCCGATGAAGAGTGCCCACAATCAACCCTCTCCGCCGACAATGTCGACGATGGCATACCCGATATGTACATACCCTCTACTCGACATCTAAGGGTCTAATCATGGAACTACGACTGTTGAGTGATGTACGTCGCGCAGGCTAGTGCGAGTTCTGAGACGCGTAGGTGGCGATGCGGATTTGCCTGCCGCTGAACCGGTCGATTTGGATGGTGTCACCAAACGTGAGGTGCGTTGTGGCTCTCTGAGAGCTAGTCAGTAGACTGATCCGTGAGACAGTTAGCTCACGAAGTTTGGGAGCACTGGCTGCGACTCCCATCACCTACGCGTCGTTCACATGTTTCTTCATGAAGGACTCATGGTGACCTTCTGTACAAGCCCCCTGAGGGTATCGTTGAGTTTATCAACTCGGTTTGTCGCTGTACAAAACGTTACATGATATACTAGAATACAATCGATAAGGGTGTCCTAAGCAAAGCGCACGAAGACGCCTACGATCTGATCATCTCGACATCCCTCACATAACTCTCTCCTCGTAACCGGGCGGCGGTCCTGCTTCAGGATTCAAGCCCGTCCCAGCCCCATCACGTTGCAAGTTTGATGCTCCTCCACCAACGTCGAGTAGTAGCTGTCGCAAGAGACTGGCGTTCACACGAACCGTCAAAGCAGCTCCCTCATGCGGCTCGAACCTTGCGGAGTCGCGCGCGGAAAGAGACGGTCCACTACTGGAGGTCGAATACCGACCAGTTGGTGTAGACGGGCACTTCTCCGGATGAACGAGACCGTCGCCAGAGTGGAGAGACTTCCCACCATGCTTACACACGGGATACTGGGATGTGGTAGCAAAGTATGGGTCCACGAGGGTGCTGGAGCGCCGCGGGTACTCCTCGGATAATAGCGTCGCTTTCGCGTGCTTTCGACGGCGCCACCAGACAACGCCGATGATAGAGGCGACAAGAATGACTAGGCCGCCTACGACACCGCCTATGATGGCGGCTTCTCGCTTTCGACGGGTAGCCATCACCTTAGAGGAAGAATCGTTCGGCGTCCTGGATCCACATCAGCTGAGAACGGGCTGCAAGATTGGACACCAGCCGTACCCATCAACATCGTGACCGGGACCGACTCCCAACGCGGTCACAAACAACGCAGAGGCGGCGTACTGTCCCGGAGGATTATAATCTTGCAATGGTATCGGAGTACCAACCCAGCTCGGGCCGTACACTAGCTGATCAATCCCTGGTGTCGTGAAGCTCGCTAACTCCCTCACAGCGTTGTACTGGACTGATATGTACTGTTGAGTGAGATTGGCTACGGTGCCATTGAGCAAGCCGGCAGAGAGGCACTGATATAGACCTTCTACCAAGATCGCTGGGGTAGACGTCGCTTCAGTCTCGCGCCTTTCTGAGCTTGACCGCTCACGACTCACCCTTCCAGTCGGCAATGAAGTTTGTCACCGATACATTGGCCGTAGGAGACGTAATTGCATCTGTACAAGGCAATAATCGTGAACCGGGGTCTTCAAGAAGACGAAGAGCAACGCGCACCCTCCCTATTGATGCCCGTCGTCGGCTCAGTCCAACCCGGGAAGAGGATCAATGACGCTGCTAGCTCGTTCAGGCTGCATCATATTCAGCCCATGAACTCGCCTCCGAGTCACTCTGGATCAACGTACTAGTTCAAATCCTCGGCCGCAACGGACGTCATATTCGCGGTGTAGTATGCCTTCAAGCCTTGCAGAAAGTAGCCGCCATTGTATGTTTGCGTCGCCGAATTCAATGTACAGTTGTTGATATCGTATGCGTCGAAGAACATAGTGCCGTTTGATAGAAAGGTCTTTGCGAACTGTACGGACTGAGAAGCGAAGGCGAGAAAGGTGTTGTTGCGGTCTATCCCGTATAGCAGCGATGAAAGACTTGCGCCGTGTTAGATCGCAGTACACCATCGAATGAAGTATAGAAGAGGCTCACATGATCCATGGCCCAATGGTCTCTCCGTTGCTTAGCCCTGAGTCTGGCGTCCAATACACGGCACCAGCCACAGACATAAGCGTGTCTTCATTTGGAGATGCTATTGCATGGTTCAGGATCAGCCGACGAGTTCCACCTGAAGACGCAACGCACAGCATGTCGAGTTGAAACCGGATACTACGCCGAGTATGGTGCCGGCCTCAGCAGCATTCTGCGAGACAAAGAGGGTAGCCGAAGCCTCCCACAAAGCGCGAGATGCATTGAGGAAGTCGTCCTCTGCATATGCCAGATACGCAGAGAAGTAAGCTAAGCCCAGTCGTCTGCGTCGCCACATGAATTAACCATCGCTCTATGGCAGCCGAAGCTGTGAACTTACTCACAGGCGATCGCTATTAGACTGCGATTCTTGATCAGACGAATGCTTGACAGTCACGAGAAGACACTACTGACCCTCAAGCCACGCCTCAGTAAGCCCTTGCATCTCCGCGTCATGGAGGCGACTCACTGCAGTGATGCAAAGCCACCGTTGTTATCTCCCGCCAAAGTATCCAATGCTGCCGTCACGTTGGTCTGGAAGACGGTGCTATTGGCACGTAAGTCATACTCCGCCATGGTATACAGAAGTACAGCCGACTGTCCGTTCCGGAGACTCGAAGCTACCACTGGTTGTCAGCCAGGTAGAGGATGTCAGACGATGGAGGCATGCTCACCGTCTCCATAGTCAGTTTGTCGCGCAGCGACACTGAGTGTACTTTCCGCCAGGGAAAGCCGTTCATCATGAGGGAGAGTAATGAGTGGCTCCTTCGGTTCGAGATCAGCATCAATCGAATGGGAGCATTATGAGTCCCTCGCACGTACGCGCCATCCAGTGGTGTCAAAAAGAGCGTGAACAACGAGCAAAGGGGGTAAAGAATAGATGGCCAGCATGCATCGATGAGCCGTTCTGAAAACAAGCATGACGGGTGCAGCTCTTAGGAGCCTCCGCAGCAATCGCGGTAGTCCAAGATTCGGAGACTATACTTATAACCAAAACTGCAGGGAGGATCCGGAGAGATTGCGTGTGACCCGGCCCGTTGTTCGCTATTGAGAACAGTTTGATACGTTGTAGGCCGTGGTTCTTGTTTCTCAAGCTTCTTTACACCCGGACAGAGACGGACATTCGAGCTAGCTCAAAAGTATACCGTTCTCCTTCGTGATCAGCTGTATACATATTCATCATCGCCAATTCCAGAACGTCAAATGTTGCAGGGCAGGAACGACAGAAAAGGGTACGATCAGCGTCCTGAGAGAGTATGTTGACCTTGGAGCCATCGTCACCATCAGCGGTCGCGAGTCGCGACTACTCCCACCAGATACGTCGGTAAGATATCCGAGAGCATGATGGGTCTACACGGTTCGCAGGATCGTGCACCTGTCAGGAAGACGATCGCAGCAACAGCGCCCGTGGAATACGCCGTAGACGGGCTCCTCGTGAGTGGTACGTTTGGCAAGGTAACGAAGACGACAGCAAAACCTTAAACACCGATAGATCCGGATACGTGAGGCCCTAAGACACGCTGCGAGCGTGGCTTCTCGACTAGAGAAACTTGAACTCGCAATCCGATTAGGTGAGATTTGCCCGCGCTGTCGTCGAACGGCGCGCAGTTGTTAGGCGGCTGCTCCATGTTTCCCTATCTCCTTGAATCGAGCTCGGGTAGTAAAGATGGCATACATTTGGTACGTATAAGGGGTGGGTGAAGACTTGGTCATGGTCTGGTCATGGTGGTCAGGAATCAAGCGCTCACCATCCCGTAGAATGCGTTTGGAACGTGTGTCGACACGGTCTGGACCATTGTGATGTCATCACCGCCTCCATCAACAGCACTTGCTCGCGAGGATTCTGCTAGCAGCTACAAGCGCCAGTACCATAGGGCGTACAACGTGCTCGGTGCATTCGAACCTTAAAGTATATTCATGGGAGCGTCTGGGGCATCCCTAAGCGCCGGATTCTCTATCGTATACATCACAAGCGAATATTTTCTCATGAAGTACTTACTACAGGCTGGGTAGAGATCTGAAACGGATGCTATGTGGACGGAGGTCTACTACGCAGGCTTGTTTGACCGACGTATACAAGAGTATAGTACATGAGATCACATCAACGTCTGACAGGTCCTTCTTCGTAGTCTGGAGGCAGCTCGGACAACTCTCCAGTGCTGGCATGCCGACTCTCGCGACGTTGTAGGTCGGATAACGCTCCGCCAATGCTCAGCAATAGACGTTGCAGCGCACTGGCGTCAACGCGTACATGTTCGACGGATTCAGGAGCCGATGCTTGAGAATCGGGGTGTACACTGGATCCGCTGGTGTTGCCGGAAGCCGACGGCAGACTGTACGGCGTATGCTCGCGTTTCATCAGGTATCCGGAACCTCCATCGTGGCGCGCGAACAGCACACCACGCTCCGTGACAGGGTATTGCTGAGACGTGGCGAAATAGGGCTCTGTGCTCATGGTAGGCCGTTGCGAGTCCTCATCGGGTAAGGGCGTTGTAATCGCACGCTTCCGGCGGCTCAAGTAGATGATGGCAACGACAAAGCCGATGAGGGCGGCCGCTCCGCCTACGACGGAGCCCACGATGATCCCTGTCTTAGATCGTGACACTTGGGGAAGAGAAGGGCTTGTCGTGGTTGGTTGCGAAGGGTTGGTGCTGGAAAGGTACATCGTCAAGCGAGGTAATCTGGGACCTTAGATGGGCTCGTACGTGTTAGCAACATCTTGAGGTCCAACTCCCAGCGCGGTTGTGAACAATTCCGCTGCAGCGAGCTGCCCTGCGGAGTCATAGTCCTGCAAAGGAGTAGGAGTACCGATCCAGCTGGGCCCGTAAACTTGCTGATCGAGAGAAGGCGCAGTGAAGTTCGCCAACTCCCGCACGGCGTTATACTGTACAGCGATGTATTGTCTTGTCAAGTTGGCCACGGTGTCATTGAGAAGGCCCGCAGACATGCATCCGTACAGGCCGTTCACTAGAATAGCTAGTATTGCTTATCAGACTTGTAAGGGCGCTAGTGATGGACACTGTGGCTTCACCTTTCCAATCTGCGCCGAAGTTCCTTTGCGAGACATCAGTCGTGGAGGAGGTGATCGCATCTGAAGGAGGTTGAGTACTCGAATCAAACTCGAACCGTGTGGTGAGTCTCTATATGGGACGCACCCTCTCTATTGATGCCAGTGGAGGAGTTAGTCCAGCGGGAGGACAATATCAGAGAAGCCGCGAGCTCATTCAAACTGGAGAATCATGGTCAACGAGGAACAAGGTGATATTGTGGGAGCACGTACTAAGCCAGGTCCTCAGTCGTGGCTGCAGACATGTTCGCGGCGTAGAATGTGCTCAGACCTTGTAAGAAGTACCCTCCGTTATATGTCCACGTCTCAGTTGGAGAGCTCGGAGTGCAAGAACTGAACGTGTATGTATCCCAGACCATAGTCCCATTGGAGAGAAAGGTCTTCGCAAACTGGATAGATAATGCGGCAAGTTCTAGAAAGGTAGCGTTGAGGTGCGAGGTGTATAGCGATGAAGAAAGTCTGTAAAGAGTCAGATGCCGCAGCTCGGAGAAGGCACACGTAGACGTACGCAATCCATGGACCAATGGTCTCTCCATTGATGCTGGCGGTTTTGTCCCAAGACAGGGCACCAGCCACAGAGACGGGGGTCGTACCACCAGGCGGGACTATTCAGCCGCGGGTGAGAATTCTCGATGTGATATAGTAAGGCACCAGGCGCACCGCATGTTGAGTTAAAGTTCGGTATCCCAGGGAGAGTGCCCGCCGTTGCAGCATCCTGAGATACGTAGTAGGCTGCTGATGCATCCCAAAGCGCAAGCGCGGCCTTCAGCAAGTCACTTTCTTGAGGACTGTCTAGATATGCGATGTGTGCGGAGAAGTACGCAAGACCAAGGCGGCTGGAAGGATCCCTGTCAGCTCGGCCATGGTTATGCAAAGGAAATGAGACGACGACGCACAGACGATCACTGTTGTACTGTACCAAGAGAGTCAAGGTCAACTCGCACTGCTCAAGTGTCAATGCTCACTCTAAAGACTCTGGTGAGTGCTTGTTGGATGGCTGTACAGTGGTGCTCACGCACTGCATATACGTGAAGTTGTAGTTCACGCTGGTCGCCAACGCGCCCAGCGCTGAGGTTACGTTGGCCTTAAAGACCGAGCTATTCGAGCGCCGATCGTACTCTGCAAGCGTGTAAAGGAGCAAAGCCGAGCTGGGCGACTGTATAGTCGATGCTACAGTGAATGAGCCCGATGTGCCCTCAGAGGAGCGAAGTGCCGCGTACCGTCATCATAGTTGATCTGCCGAGCCATGATGCTGAGCGTGGTTTCTGCCAGAGAAAGTCGGTCATTGTAAGATACGCTGATGGAGGGTTCCTTTCGAGATGTATCAGCGTGCGATCGACGTATGTCATTTTTTGGAACGCACCCGCCACCCCACAGTCTGAGAGAACGACTCCTGAGCCGCGACCTGGAATAAAGGAAGGTAGGAAGCCAACACCGCACACCGACGAAGAAGCTGAAGTGAAAGCATTGCGAGAACATCAAGGGAGGCGTGAGGCTTTTCACGGGGCGGATCTGCACTTAGGGATATAGGTAGAATCCCGGACAGTGTGTAGTGAAGAGCTGTTGTCCGTCATCGGGTGGAGAACTTCTTGATGGGATGTAGTGCTTCCTATGGAATTCAAGGTAGATGAGTACGTGTAATCAGCGCCGAAGACTTCTACACGCGCAGACAACGAGCTAACTATCCCATCGTAGTCGGCGAAAGGGCGCGATGAGTATCATGATGGCTGTAGTCGTATTAGACATCCAAATCGGACCCCCTGAGAATAGTACGGTCGTCGTAACGAGGGCAACAAAGTATGGAGCGGACAGCCAAGGTGGGACACTCGGCGGCAGTCTTCCAACCAGGCACTGCCGTGGGATTGGCGCTGTGGTGCGTACCGACGGGAGTCCCTTGAAGACTTGAGACAATATCGCACTACTCTTTCACAGCGGTGCATCATCTGTTGGCGCATTCTGGTCTATGGACACAGACTAGGGTGGTAGGGGAAAATATGCAGGGTCGGAGCCTCGTGGAAGTCAAGAGCAAGAGCGCGAGCGTGGTTCGAGGACGCCGACGGTTAGCTGGCGTGATCCCGCCCCGCACGTTGCTCTCGACCACCATGATCGTGCTCTTCTACTGCGCACGATGAATTCTACAGCACCTATCCTGGACGTGGTGCTTTAGAGCGCCTTTTCTTCTCGCAATGATGTACTTGTCACCTAAAGCTACCCAAAGCTCGAAGCCTCTCACAGAACGAGGCATTGGGAACCCTGGCGCAGTCGCTCGGCTTGCTTTCGACAGCCGCCCTCATACACGCTCTTGTACACACGTCGATTTCCATCTATACTCAGACGACATCTGATGTCGACGCAATGCACTTCGCTTTTGCAATGATCAACATCGACGAATGTCTTCGCCGAGCGAGCACCGTCACGTCGCCGGCGCCGGCGCCGAAATTCATGGCTCAAAATCATCAGGCGTTGATAGGAAGACCTACTGAGCAACGTAGTCCGGTGGCAAATAATGATTGAACGGCTATATCGCACTTACTCCGGGAAGCGCGCGCGGGTTCCGGCGAAGGCGCTGTAGGACACGATGGGATAGGGCAGAAAGCCGAGACCTCTCCGACGCGTACGTCCACCTTCGCCTCTAGTTCAAATGTTCCTTCATTGATGCGACGTCTCCTAGTGCTGGAATTTCCAACTGCAAGACACTGGCTCCTTCTCCGATAGCTGTCATTCACACCATTCCTTCCGACAACTCTGTCCTCAGTACTTTCTATGGCAAACTGTGATCATGTCTCTTTGTCGCGATTGCCGCGTCCGCTTCGTCAGTGCCATCATTCATTGTGCTATCAATAACAAGCTAACATCCAGTCACTACCCAGAGCGTCGAAACCCGTCTCCTTCATGTCGGCCTAGACGATAGTGTTGCGCTCAACCCCTCTTTGGACGTCAATCTCAAGCGTTCGGACGTTGGTCTCGACAGTGACGTCGGACTGACTCCTAGACTCTGTGAAGAAGCATTCACTCGCCGTGGGCCCTCATTGACATGCGTAGCCCATCTCCAGCCTCGACCTCGATGACAAGAAATGTCTGCTCACACTTGGCGGCGATGTCAAACTAGGTCCCGAACCCGCCATCACTGTTAAAAAACGCTCACTCGCGCTCGGTCTCAACGCTGACATCGAACTCTCGGCGTTGATTGAGGCGCGCTCTCGACGATGAACTTAGGCCCGTTCTCGTTGAGCCCACCGCCGATCTCGATCTCGATCTCGACCTCGGGTTTGGCGTTTAGGAACGGTTACTCGCTTTGGGTTCTCAGTGGGAACGTTCACCTCGCGCTTAACCTCGACCTAGATGTCTACCCAACTCCGTCGTGACCTCGCCCCAGACGTGAAGAAGCGTCTCCTCGCGTTCGGCTTGACCGGCGATATTGAGATCAAGCTCAGTCTTGCCATCAACGTCAAACATCTTGTTGAAGCCGACCTTGCCGAAGCTGCAGTCAGTGCTATTCCCAACCTGAACGTCGCTGTCAAGTAAACCATGCACCAGACATCCTCCTGCTGGAGGTGGATCAGATACGTATACCTTGTTTCGGGCTCGCCATACCTACCTACTCCGTACATCATGTACGAGTTCTTCTTTTTAGAATAACGGTAGATCAATGCCATCGTACTGCCACCGATTTCGTGTGTGATCACTACACCGTCACCGACTCGCATGTCAGAAGTTCATCCCTAGGCATAAGGGTGCCAAAAGCAGTACTGTGTGCCACCATAACACTAGATTGTATACAGCCGAAAGCATATAGCAGGAGGAGGCATAACCATGCCTGACGTCCCTCGCCATACTGCAGTCGGGCGAAAGCTCGACTACGCTACCCAAGTCCACCCCATCGGTCTCCATCTAGCCAAGGTATGGCTCGCGACGCTGCGTGTCCGATAAAGATCCCCCGCCCCAAAGCCCAACGTGAAGAACAAGCGCTAGCTGTGAGCACCGGCATCATTCTATCATTTCGGGCGCGACATTGAGCGGGAGAAGCGTACGGAGGTTGACATGCCGGTTGTGCTACCTCCCCAATCCTCTGGGTGCGCATCGCCTTCGTTCTCGATCACCTTCGAGTATGGGCGTCTGTCTGTGGAAGACATGGGGTAGAAGATGCCTGTAGGTAAGTATGTAGACACGAGTGATGAAGATGCTTGATCCAAGCTTGATCGGCATGTGCGCCGTCGGCCGACGGTGTGATCGCGTCAAAAGCCTCGCACGAGAGCAGATGACGACTTGCGCTCGAACTGCCATCTCGATTGGGCAGAGCTCATACGCTCGCCCACCAGAATGAAACGCAATGCAACTTATTGAATGACGCGACATATCTGTTACATACTGCTGCCTCCTCTTTCCCACCACCGTCCTAACGGCATATGACTAGTACGCTTCAAATAGCCGACGACGACAGATGGCACTTCCAGAGCAACATCGAATATATTGATAGCATGATATCACAGGACAGGGTTGCCCTCGGTTATGAGAAATGAAGTGCTAGTGCTACTTCCCTTCACGTACGACCCTCGCCTGAAAGCACCACCTCCGTTCCACCGCGCGAAGTATCCTCAAGATCAACTTCGGCGGCGGACTTTACCGCAACCAGCAGCACGTGTCCCCTCAGCCCTCTGCTGCATTCAGGGCTGGTAGTAAGTAAGTAAGTAGGTAAGTAAGTAACTCCCGGGGTCAACCGATTGGGACTCGGGAGATCTGGGTGTAGTATTGTCCACGATAACCTCTTGTAAGTCTGTAGTCTCACCAGGGAGGTGCTCGTTGACGCTTGGATTTCTCACCATGCTGGCACGCGGCCCGACGTTTCCGGCTCCGTTCCCGTTGTGAGCGGTAATGGCTTCTCCAATGACGCGATTGGACTGTGTTGTGTTCTCTGCCGTTGAGGTGGATGATGTAACTGAGGAAGGCTTGATTGCATAATCCTTCCGACGAATGACAGCTGTCTCGGCGAGCTTTAGCGACTGGTGATGTGAGGGACCTAGAGTATCTGATGCGATAGCCTCTGACTGTAAGAGCTTCTTCAGGGACGACGGTTGCACTGAAGATGTGCCCGCTGCTCTCTGCGCACGATACGCTGTGAAGTTGACGTGGCGTGCAAGTTTCTGAAGGATCCAAAAGCAACGCCACCCTACGCGAGTCCCATGTAGGAATCCGTGATGCGTCCCTTCATGCGCCCGAGAGTCGAAGTCACTCCCAAGTTCCAACCACTTGGACAATCCAGCCAATTGTAAAACTTCAACGAACTCGGGAGAGACCATCTTTCGTCTGCCGGTCTCCGACATATCGAAAACGTTGTCCCATTTCACAAGATCGATGAAGACTTTACTCAAAAGCTCGCTAGTGTCGTCCCTCTGGTCAACTGTGGAAGCCAATACACGGGCAACCGTTGACAAAGCGTTGCACGCTACCACGTGCGAGAGACCCTCGCGTGTTAGCATGCTCCTCCAGTCTTTGCAACAGGCGTCGTCATGCAAGGGCAATAGGCTTGACAGGCCGAGGTCGTGCCATCTATAACGAGAGTAGAAGCCATTGGTGAGCATGAGAAGAATACCGTTAGGGTGACGGTCATTGAGCCTGAAACTAGGAGAGCACGACTCATTGAAAAGGTCCGACACTTCTGCTTCCGGTATGGTCTTCATCTTCTTGTCATATGCCTTGAGGCATAGTTTCATGAGCGAGTGCCGTACGTAGGCAAGGCACAGATGAGCCCACAGCTGCGATGAACCTTCGACCTGGGCTATCTGTGACACGATGCCTATAGCATCAAGAAGCCAGATGCTCGTGGGAGCCAGATCCGTCGTGCCCGGCTCGTTGTACTGTTCAACTTCCATTGCAAACATCCTCTCGGAGAGTTTGGACACAAAGATGAACATCTCAGGAGCAACTAGCACTGTCGAAGGTGTTACGCCATGCGCGCGATACGCGCTCTGCACGTATTGATAAAGCCTCTTCGTGAGTATGCTATCAGCACACATGAGGCTGAGAAGAGCATCCCTGTCTCGATGTTGTCCGATGAAAGTGAGCAATCCTTTGAAAAGGGAGTTGCTGTTCTGAGAAGCTATATGGGGATACGTATGTTCCCGCATGAATGCATATCGGTTCCCGATCATAAAGTCCAAGCTATGGCCCGTATACTGTCGCGCAATGATCCCGTGAAAGTCCTTCGTGTCCTTCGTGTGAGCACTGCGGGACTGCCAGAGCCACACTAGAAGTCTCTGAATAGGTATCTGTATGACGAATTGGTATGTGATAGCCGTCAAATACGTGACCGGAGTCCTGTACGGACAGCTCTTGTCCAGAAGAGGGAGTAGACTTGCAGAACCATATATCACCACGAATATGCCCAGTACACCGGAGGAAATATCAGTCACAATACTGTTGAGAGGAAAGAGAAAGACTACAAGGCCACAGGCAAAGAGGAACACAGAGAGATGGACGAGCGCCACAATCCAAGACACGAATTGATCCATGCCATAGCGATTGACGCCCATGCGGATGAAGATATGATTGAACGCGCGCTCTCGCAGGGTCTCGTGCAGGACCTTGCGTCTATTGATGTCCTGGACGTATGCTCGCGCCCATTCCTGCACGAGCGTCGACAACAACGCGCACACGAGCGCAATCAATAGACTCGAAAACCATAGTGCATTCGTGATGACGGCTGAGGAGGAAGTTGTGAAAGGTTCGGGAGGTGGAATGATCACCGGAAGGCCGGAAGAAGCATTCGCCGTCGCTGCAAGAAGCTGCGAGAGAAGATAGACGCTCTGGTCCCCCGAGTCGACTGACAGGAGCTTGTAACTCTCAATCATGAAGGCCGCGACAGTCGCGGCGAACAGGCCAGTCTATAGCCCATATTCAGCATACGCCCACGGTTTGACAAGGGGTCGGTACCCACGAAAGTCAAGATGCCTGTTGTACTTCCCTCCCAGTTTCTTGGGCGCGCTTCATCCTCGTCTTTGGAGGCTTTCAAATAGGTATCCCAGATAAAGTCTTCAGGCTGCTCGTATTCTTCCTGCGCGAGCATCTGGGGAGTTGAGGACCGCAGTGATAGACGGGGAGAGGATGAATGGTGCGCAGGTCTGCAGACCTAGGAGAGCTTATAGTAACCTGTGAGGTCAGCAGTCGTGGGTCCGATCCTAGGATGCCATGTGAGCTGACGACGATGCGGTGTTTGACGAATCACTTGTCAGGGACGTCAGCACATGTACCGCTTCTCGCATGCCGCTCGATATATGTACAGCTTGAGAAGTGAACAAAGTGGGCATGCCTGTAGTACTTGACAGATCAGTCTACTTACCTGACCATGTGTGTTGCAATGCGACTCGGGCGCTCGATCGGCATTGAAGCCTTGACAACCGCGTTTGACGTAGAAGATAGGCCCGCCTATAAAATATAGCAAGTGAATAGTAGCGATGCGAGGTAGCAACACGCACGGACGGAGGACGGAGAACGCGCAGCACCTGTGAGCAATTAACATCGCGATAGGCTTTTGGTGTAGTTTCGCCCCTTCCGGGTAAGGATATCACGTTCCAGCTTTCAATACACTGGTCGGACTGCAGCTTCTCTGCCACAGGAGCAGTGTATTCAGTGATGTCCATGCGACGCCGCCGCATGACGCTGCGGTAACCATAGCCCCGCCCCCGACTCCTTCGAGTTCCCCACCCGCAGGTATAAGCACCCGATGATCCAAATGGGCGACAACACAGTAGATGTAGCTGCCACACGTCACTTTGAATAAGCTCAGTTCAAGTCCCAATGCTTGACGGGGGACGGTGTATCTGCAGGTAGAGTTCTCAGTACCCCGGGCCACGATGCACCGCGAATCGCGACCGCGACCGAGTTCAAACTACGGGAGAAGAGCGCTCAGGTATCAATCATCTTCTCGCTATAGCTGGCGAAGGACCTCTGAGTTGGGTCTGAGTACCGCAGGCAGAGTAGACGGGAACTCTATCAGGATCATCATGGGAAACGACAAGCCGCGATTCATTGGGCGTTCGCCTGCGTCTCACCACCACCATCATGATCACGCTGGTCTATGTGCATTTCGATTTTGACTATAGAGCGCAGCCGCAGTGTCCTCCATCTCTCAACGTGTCAACTCTGAAGTTGCTGTTCAATACTTAGAGCGCCAGGGTCTGCCAGGGTGCGCACGATGTGCACAGCACTAAAGGTGTTTCCCTCGCGACCAGAAACGGTCGGATACGTCCACACGTCTGTTCGTTGCATACCACACAGCCTGCGTGCGCTTGGACTTCTGTCCAACTCCGGCAAGACCCCGCTACATATGACGCAACCTCATCCACGGCTGGTAGCGAGTTCATAGACACCGGGCGAAAGCAGCTCTCATTTAGCGCCCTACCCGCGCCCTACCCCAGAACTACCGCATCACCAGGACAGGGTTACTCCAGACGATGTCGTGATTGAAGGGGTTGAAAGTTGAAGGGCGAGAGGTCATGGGCAAGATTGTGGGGAGGTTCATAGCAAGCACGGCCGGGGGGACTGGACGGAAATGGTGAAGATTCTACCGGGTACGTGTGTGGTATAATGCTTTTGTCGTACACTTTCTGATGAAGCGTGTAGGCAAGTGCTTGTGCGCCAATGCATTCACAAACCCGTGGCGTGATTGAGAATACTGTGAACATATATATGGGCAATCTCTGACGTACACTCAAGTATTACAAGAGCAATACTATTTGGCCAACCACATCTTGTTCGCCCTTCACTACCGGCACTCTGCTCTTCTTCCGGGCGAGTACGATCACCACGTCCTTGAGCTGTTCCTTCAGATGGGCCACATGCAACTGACGGGCGAGCCGCCACCTGTAGATAGTTACAGGCTCAGAGCGCTATCTTCGCTTCACTTTCCAGTCACTTTGCTGGTATGCAGTGCGCGAAGCGGCTATACGTGAGTCTATCGCGGCATCATCGCTCTCGAACGCTGCTCAAGTCGAGTCTACACTCAGATCCCTCCAACAAGTCCCTCACAGTACGATGGTAAGACTGGTCCTGCTCCTTCTGGGTCGGACGATTCACTCTGACATGTTCCCGCACAGAGTGGATGCCCTGGCACACCACCATCATGAGAGACTTCCCCGCCTACGTGGACGACTCGAAGGCGTTTGATCGTCATCTCGCAGAACACGGGCTCGCACGGGCGCTTCGCCAGGCGCACTTGAAGCTCAGGCAGGAGCATACGGTCCTTCCACACGTACAGGCTCTTCGCTTTGCTCTATGAATTTCAGAGCACGCTGGGGCTAAATTCGATCGTCAAGCGTCTGTGCGTGCCCATCGATGCGCAGAAGAACACGATCCCCGGACCTGTGTTGTCGGACGAGAGCTGGTATGCCCAGGTGAGCCGTGATTGAACACCGAACCACTCAGTCCTTCCTCTGACCATTGAGCGCCCTTTCACGCAGGCTCATCTCCGCGTGCATACTTGGAACGAGCGTTCCGTGGAGATCGTGTGTGGTATGTCGAACGGCGAATGAATATAATAGTCATTGTCCAAGCATACCGTGCGATGCACGTATACATGAACTTCGAGAGCTCGCACAAGATGAAAGCACCCCACCGGCCAAGCCTTCTCATCTTCTAAACTTCGCCGCCCGCCTTCTCTCTTCCCCCCCGCACAAACAACAAGCGCTTCAAGCGCTTCAGGCCCATCCCTCTCCCGCCGCTCGCAGGCCATCATACACTGTACACGTCTGTACACGTCGGACCCGCGCTCGTACGTTAAACGCACTGATCCCAACGCGCGAACTCCAGGGGTGTGACTTCCAGCGCACGAGGGGATGATGATTCAGGATCTGCTGAAGCAGGCGAGCAAGGATGACGGATAGCAAGAGCTTCGTTTGATGGATGACATGAGGTTTGACCGATGCTCTGCAATCAGACTGGCGGGCTTGTGACGACGTTGGAGGATGTTGATGAGGTGAAGACGCAGTCGCTTGGGTGACGGGCCCGACGTTTATCCAGACTCCAGAGCGCACGCGTCGCTAGGGCCGAGCTTTCTTAGTCTCGTTACTCGTACTGCGGGTCTTTGTCAGTACGATCGTAAGCCTCTTCCAAAACGCACACTCCTACCTATGAGTCTTGTCAAGTGATATAGGCACTTGTTAAGGGATAAGTAGGTCGGATGGCTGTAAAGCCCGCGCGCTGAGAATTGCGGGGAAGATTAGGCGCTGAAACTGTCCAATGGGCTCATCGAGCGAGGCGCGCGTTGTTCGGAAGGGCGTAGGGTGTGTTGTGCACTGCAATGTCCTACGCCGAGAAGGGCTCTTGGGCATGCATTACAGTACGCGCAGCGATTGGATTGGACAATGCAATACAGAAGAGTTCGTTTGAGGTTATGAAGGGTGATTCGCTGAAGCGTATATGATATGCTTGGACGGACATGTTGGAGGAAGCTGTTCGGATCGGGCTATACTGCGTTACACCGGTGTATGAGGGTGTAGTGCGGGCGGATGATGGTGCACCTGCAATCATCGGTGGCGCTCTGAGCGTGCAAGATAGCTGGGATACTCGGTGCACGGTCGCGTCCTGGGCAGATCGGACAGAAGACTGCTGGTCTTCTCCACTTGATACACTCGCACAATCACCAAGATACAGCAGCAGTGCGTTGGTGAGAGCACAGTGTGCAGGAAGTACTGGTAGCTGGGCGCTAAGATGGGATTGACGAGCCACAGCAGCATGCGACAAAGGAGCGATGGGATCGAGGATCTGTGATACGTCTGACCCGAGCGTCTCCTCGGACGCTGGGCGCGGCCTGGTCGGTCTGCGCCGCCGTTCATACTTGAGCTCGAGCGGGACACTCAGAAGAAGAAGTCGGCCCCTTCATACTGAATGGTCCAAGCGTGTTGGACAGGACCGTGAAGGGGACAACCGCGCGGCCGTAAGGAGAAGAACGTTCCCGGCGGCAGGAAGAAGCAGCATCAAATTAGCCACGAGGCTTATGAATTGGAATTGGCAAAAGAAAATCGGCATTGGGTTTCGGGACGCTGCCGGCGAGCTCTCCTGCGCCATTGCGTACTCCGCAGAGGATATTATGAGAGGACGTTGTCATGATAACAATACGCCTGCGGTTGAGAGAGGGGACAAATATGGAAGAGGGAGGGAGGTGACGGTAGCAATTAGACTCCGAGCGGTCGGGGAATTTGAGATATCATATCCGCGTTTGTGTTTTGGCGGCGCGAGCTTCGGAACTCCTGGCGCCCCCACGCTTCTCCTCGACCACCACCAGCTCATAGAGCCTCCCTCCTCTCCCCTGCCCTCCTCCCCGTCCGCTCCTTTTTTGTTGTCGCTTTAATCTCCTCTTTCTTCCCCCACAACAAACCAAGAGCAAAATGGGTTGCGTCCAGTCCAGCGCCGTCGACGAGGAGGCCAAGGCCCGTGAGTTGGCTGCCAAGTTTATATTCCGACTATCCACTCAAGTTTGGCAGGCAACGACGAGATTGAGAACCAGCTGAAGCGGGACCGGATGATGGCGAAGAACGAGATCAAGATGTTGTTGCTCGGTGCCGGCGAGTCTGGCAAGGTGAGCGCCGTCGCCGTTGCCGTCGAGAGAGAGGAGGCTGACAAATGAATAATAATAGTCTACCGTGCTCAAGCAGATGAAGCTCATCCACCACGGCGGGTACAACGAGCAGGAACGTGACTCGTACAAGGAAATCATCTACTCGAACACGATCCAGTCCATGCGCGCCATCCTCGACGCCTTGCCCCTGCTCGAGCTCCAACTCGCGCCCCAGAACGACGCCCGCCGCTCCGTCATTCTCTCGCTCCCCGGCCAGATCGAGGCCGACGTGCTCCCCAATGACGTCGCCGACGCCATCCGCGCGCTCTGGCGCGACCCGGCCATCAAGGAGGCCGTCAGGAGGAGCCGCGAGTTCCAGCTGAACGACTCGGCCGTCTACTACTTCAACTCCATCGACCGCATGGCAAACCCCGGCTACATGCCCACCGACCAGGACATCCTCCGCTCCCGTGTCAAGACGACGGGTATCACCGAGACGACATTCAAGGTCGGCGAGCTCACCTACAAGCTCTTCGATGTCGGTGGCCAGCGTTCGGAGCGCAAGAAGTGGATTCACTGCTTCGAGAACGTCACCGCGCTCGTCTTTCTTGTCTCGCTTTCCGAGTACGACCAGATGCTTTACGAGGACGAGTCCGTCGTAAGTCTCCTATTCACTCCCTTCTGACGCGAATTGCACCCGCTCACGGCTCCATGTAGAACCGTATGCAAGAAGCGCTCACCCTCTTCGACTCCATCTGCAACTCAAGGTGGTTCGTCAAGACGTCGATCGTAAGTGGCTTTGTGTTCCTCGTTTGTCATGGCCGCACGTGCTTACTCATGCCGTACTCGCCCACCAGATCCTCTTCCTCAACAAGATCGACCTGTTCGCAGAGAAGCTCCCGCGCTCGCCGCTCGGCGACTACTTCCCCGACTACAACGGCGGCGACGACTACGACGCCGCGTGCAACTACCTCCTCAACCGGTTCGTCTCGCTCAACCAGAGCGCGGCGACAAAACAGATCTACGCGCACTATACCTGCGCAACGGACACGCAGCAGATCAAGTGTACGTCACGCCCTGTGCCTCTCCCCGCGCCATCCAACTGCAGCTGATTGATTGATTTCCACCCTTTACATCTACAGTCGTCCTCAGCGCTATCCAGGATATCCTCCTGCAGATCCACCTGCGCGAGTGCGGCTTGCTCTAGACGCGCTCTAGCTCCGCGCTCCCGCTGTTCGCCCGCGCCGCTCCTCACTAGAGCGCGCGCGCGCGTCAGCACGCCGCGTCTGTTCTGTTTCCGTGCTTCAGCTCGCCTCGGCTCCCGGTTGATATGTATGCACTATCTACTCGTCCAGCTCTCTTGTTCTCGTCCGTGCAGTCTCACTCCGTCCCGTCTCGTTCATCCGCACCCGTTACCCCGGATCCCTTCCCGTCCTTGCCCCACCCGCCGGATATATCCACACCTTCACCGCCTCGTTTTGTCTTCCCGCTTACCGCTTCTTGCATGTGTCTTACTCATTCAAGACGCTTCTGCCCAGTGTTTACCTTGGCTCGCTCTCGCTATTGACCAGCTACCGCGCACAGCACACACTTACCACACCTATCGGCTTCTGGGTCTCTTTTTCTTCTTTTTTACACCGTTGAGGCCGCGTACCATATATAATAGGCGGCCCTCGCGTCGCGCCTTTTCTCGCTCACATCGCAATCACAAGCATCGGGACGCTCGATGTCCTGCGCCGCTCTTTCGTCTCACAGCCACACACTCGCTAGCTCAAACAACACTTGATACCATACACGCGCCCGGCCGGCCGGCCCCCTCACCTTCACGCCCTTCCTATACGACCCCGCACCACCATCCACATTCTTACTCATTCTCTACTTCAGTTGCCATTTTTTTCGCGTAGGTGTAGGCTTTCACTTGACACTTGATATAACAGGCGTTTACGACAGCGAAGTACGGCGTATCAGAAGGGCGTGATGCGTTCTGTTTGGCTGGGTAAGCTGCGTAAGTAATAAGCGTGTGTGTGCTGTATAAGCCGGTCTGGTTGCTGTAAGTGGCGGGCGTAAGCCGCAAGCGGTGGGGCGCGGTTGTGGCTGACGCCTGTGGGATCACTGCGTAGGTTGGTGACGGAAGTGGCGCGCGCGGTTGAGCGCTCAAGGAGATGGAGCTATACAGGATGTCTCAGGCGAAGATCGTCGAACGTGTACGGTAATCAGTTGCGAGGCCTGCTGGACCTTGACTGTTCGGATGGGGATGAGGAAGGGTCGGAAGGTCTAGCGGTGTGAGCCTCGAGGCACGGAAGGGCGTGAAGCGGGAGGTTCGGGCCGAGGTTGCCGATGCGATGGCGGTTCCGTGAGCGCGTTTGGGACGACCACCATCGCGGCTGGATCGCGGGCGTCTGTTGTATCGCGCTGCGCGCTCAGGCGACTGAAAGTCCTGGTCTACCTAACACGGTCTTATGCCCTCTGAGCGTGCCATTTGAGGTCTTCAGTGTCCAAGTAGCGCGATATTGCCCGAAAGCGCGCGAGCGCGCCGATGGGCGTGTTTGGGTTTTGCTATGGACGGCCACCATCGCGGCTGTATTGCGGGCGTCTGTTGTATCATGCTGCGTCTCCTCGCGCTTTTTGAACTCAACTGGCGTATCGCAGCGCTCAGCGATATGACAGTATTTGACTGGATCGAATAGCACTGGTGTCAAGTTCTCGCCCGTAGGACATCTACTGCGATAGACGCAGTTTCGGCACCACTACCTCGCCCGATCTTCTCTACTTGACACCGTTCGAAGCTTATGATGCTCGCATCTGCGAACTTCTGACAGGTTGAAAGGAACTGTCATGAACGTGATGCTCAGCAGGTCATCTTTGAACGCGAACGAACGATCCCTGAAGCCCTTCCCGACATGCCCGGCAGGTTGAATGCCACCCTCCGAGTGAGTGCATGCAAAGCTACTCCGCACCCCGAATCGGCCCTTACAATCTACGTTGAACAGGTTCAACCGAACTTCTACTCGCCTCCACCACTATCCCTCTTCTATACTCGTCGGGCTTAATCTCCGCACACAACGAACAACCGCGATGTCGAACTTCATGATACCCACCGCGCTTCCTCCACTAGACATGCTCCCCGAGCTATCCGCAGAGTCGTCCGCGTCTACGAGCGGATCCGGCCCTTCCCAGCCCGCCACGCCGGCAGACGAAGAGTCTTTCGCGCAACAGCTGGACCTCTTTGCAACACCACGCAAGTCACAGATCGGAGACGAGAAGATGGCGTACAGTGAGAGGGCCCGTACGCTCTCGCGTCTTGCGGTAGCCGTTCGGGAGTATGCGCAGGGAGTCGTACGTCGAAACGTTTGTGAAGCGAGATGTATACTGAAACACCATCTCTGTTCTTCAGGAGACGAACTTCGAGCGCGAGGACTCGTTACCTGCTAGCGAGTCGTTCAAGGAGAGCGCGATGCTCGAGTCTTCGAGTTCTGCAAGCGGACATCAGATCCTCGTACGCTCACCCACTGCTAATGCGGATGAGAACAGCCCTTCGCTATCACCCGACATGCCCAGTCTTGGACGCTCTGTACGCATCTTCTCGCGCTCATGGTTCTGGGGCGGTCGCACTGACCAGATACACATCAATAGCAGACACTCTACCGACAGCCCAACGTGACCTTCGGTCTGACCCCACTACTCGGCACATTGCCCTCGTCAGGCTCGCTCGCAGGCAACGTCTCCCATGCGGCCCTTTCGGAGAGCAACACCACATCGAGTATGAGTCTTGCATCTGCGCCGGACTCGATGCTGGCCATTATCTCTCCACGCCCTGAGCTTGAAGCAGTTGATGAGGCGCCCGCACCGTTCCCCATTATCGACATCGGGAGTCCCAATCCTCAGTTTGTGGACCGCTCGCTTACCGCGGAGGGGTATGAGGGAGACAGCGATCGTGAGGGTGAAGACGCAGAGAGCTCGTTGGGATCTGGCGATGATTACACGGACACGCTCGTCTCAAGCGCCTCAGAGCTCGATTATGCGGGTTTAACCAACCTCATCATGCGCGACGCCTCCAACCCATCCAACGCGTCGGACAATCCCGACACTGAACTCTCTGAGCCCTTCGCCCCGCTCTCTCAAGACGGCGTCCTCTTCCCGCTCTCCCTCGCGCGCGATCTAGCGCTCACCCCCTTCAGACTAGCCATCCTCGGTGCCGCCCAACTACTACACCCGGCGCTCCTCCCAACACTGCTCTTCGGTCCCAATCATACCCTGTGGCCCCGCACATCCGCGCCGCTCGGCGGCATTCGCCGCCTCGAGGCCTACGCGCACGCCTTACAGGGCGCGGGGTTCACCTTCCTCTTCGTGCTTTTGCTGTTATGGCAACTCGGTGGCCCCGTCGGACGCGCGATCGCTTTTGCGGCGCTGAGTCGCGCTGCGTGGGTGTGGGGTGCGTTTGAGCTGGACATTGATCGTGCGATGGCGCTGAATGAGGATGTGGCGTGCGCGTGGGCGGTGTCGTTTAGTAAGGAGAGGGAGGTTGTTGGGTGGATGGCGCAGAGGGCGAGGATGGAGATGGATTTGGGGGAGCAGCGGCGGTCGAGGAGTGAGGTTGAGTCGACGTGAGGGCGACTCTATCTGAGTGCCGATACTGTAACTTCTTGGTCGAAGACGATGCACTAGTGATGTGGCGCTGGACGCCTGGATACCTCATATGATAGTACTCGTATAATGTATGTTTTGACTCGGTCCACGAGTAATCTATGGTCGCTCGAGAGTTGATTACAGTATTGCAGGGATCGGCCCGGTTGTCCGATTTGTCTCTGCCTCACGCGATACAAGGTCTGTCCGCGACCACCACCACCACCTTTGATTACACTCATAGGCCTCTGTGCGCCCCTCCCCTGCCACTGGTTATATCAGCATGGCTTATATCACATATCTAACAGTATCAAATACTGAGTCTCGTATACATTACCCCGTCGTGACCCTGAGCGTTTCCGTAGGTCTTTTGACATCTCTGTTAAGCCTGTCTGAGTATCGAGATGCTCGTGATCTGATAAGTTGCATTACAATCTACGCTCCACAGGCTCCGATTGGTGCTATTGGAGTAACGTTTGCAAGGTTCGACCGAATGAGTGCCGTTATCCATCTCATAGAGTGCCAGGCTCAGCGTCGCCCAACCCTGGCGCGATACCCACACCGAAGGCCTATCCGGCGGGCTGACTATGTTCCAGAACGAATGAGGCTGAAACTGCGGGCCGACCGCGTATCGATACAATGACGCTCTGGGTGAAGAGCTGATCACTGGATGCTTCTCGATGGATAAAACAGGCCGTGCTTTCCATTCATCGCTAACCACTTGACCTGTGCGCCAAGTCGCACCCCGTCTTTCGCTCACATGAACAAATACGAAGGCAAGATTTGGTACTCCCATATCTATGCCGCCTGTGAGTGTCACTCTTGGTGGTAGTCGTGAAATCAGAACTCGAAGCTATGTGCAGAAAAGAGGTCATGCTTACGGTTGGCTCCGGCGATTCATTGTAACGGGCCTACTCTCCTGTTCGTGCATAAGGGGCACGTACGCCCTTCATACAGAAAGATCCGACGGCGAACGGATGATCGACGCCCATATCAGGCAAGTTATGTCTAGCAGCACCGCGCGTCATCCTCGTAGCTTTTACAGATCTATCGTTTGTGAAGCCCGATGCATAGGTACCGGGAGCAGTAGGGCTATGCAGTGTACTAGGTAGAACGGTATTTGGTAAAGCATAGCGACAAAAGACCTATGATCTCGCGCTTAGACAGGAGTCCGATGGCGTTCCGGGCATTTTAGATAAACGAGTGAGAACAAACTTGAGCGCTTGAGCTCGGACCTCGGCTGACGACTCTCACTCTTGACGAGAACTTCGCCTATTGAGACGTTCGCCACTCCTGTGCGAGACGTCCCACTGTCAAGGCTCTCTTCGTGAAGACACGGCAGCTTTTGCAGGAACTCAATCGCCGAGAACTACCTTTTCAGGCCTCGAAAACGGTTACTCGTGTATTTTGTGATCGAAGTGTGATTTACCGAGGACAAGGAAGTCGGGTCGAGGCTGAGAGGGGTATGGATGATTCTGGTAGGTACACGATAGCATTTACACGAAGGGGTTCCATAGGAGTGGTCACGCAGGGAAGAGCTAGCTACAAACAGGACAGGATACGCCGAGAGCGGAAAGCAAGGAGTGAGCGTGGATAGGAGCAGGTAGCGCGCCCCACCTTGGTACTATGGTGGGCACGACAGCTGAGATATGGTACGGTAATGACAGACCAGGGCGTACGCGAGAGTCCCAACGAAACGGCGAGAGAGCGGGAGGACGAGACAGAATACAGGGGATTATAGCTAAAGGCACGGAAAGAGGGAAGGCAAATCATAGGCAGTCCTGAGGATAGGTGATGGGAGGGATAGTCAAAGACCTGCTATCTGTGTCGAGAGCTCTGGAGGCTGAGGCGAGGGCGGCATGATGCCCGAACGGCGACACGCGTCAACTAGGCGCCCACGGAGCGCGGACGCCTGATGCTTGAACTCGACGCACGGCCAGAGCGTGTTGAGCACGTCTAGCGCCGCGATGAGCGTCTTGGCGAGTTCTAGCGCACGAAGGAGGAAAGCATCGCGCTGCCAGAGGTCCATGCATCTGTGTAAAAGCTTATCGGTAAGCGCACGGGGATAAGTGGATGTATGAGGAGATACAGACGTCGTAGCGTGCGCCAAAAACCACTGTGTGAGGAAGGGCCGGCGGCGGAAAAGATGGCCCGGCGACGTGCCCGCTTGAGGTAACGAGGCAGCAACACGCGCAGCCACTTGTTCTTGATAGTAGACTGTGTGGCAGAAGGTGAGTTCCCGAATACGTCTACAGACACGCCGCAGACAAACAAGCACTCACGCCAGTCTTCGGCCAACTGGGAGTCCAAAGCCGGCTGAACGGGCGTGACGTCCGCGGTGATCCTGCAGCAACGCTAGTCAGATATGATGTTCTATCAGAACAGGCAGGGACCGACCTTCGCGTGAACATCGTGGTCGCCAGGCGTATGCTATTTCCCACAAGTAATAGTCAGCATCAGAAGCCATGGAAGCATAATACAGTGGCGAATGAAAGTAGGCTAGCTGGAGATGAGGGAAACAGATCACAGGATACGTCGAGGGAGAATACACGGCATATACACGGCATGTAGCGATAAGGGGAAATGATGGCGTGAAAGAACGTACTTCGCGACGAGCTCCTTCGCCATGTAAAGTAACAACGCGTGCTTGCCGTCGCATTGGTGCGCGTCGAGCAGGTCCTCGAGCTCGTGCGTCTCCTGCATCATGATCACCGCGCGTTGTACAAGCTCGGAACCAGCACTCCGCAGGATCATAGTGCTGTTCCAGAGCAACATCGCGCGGCAATAAAGTGCAGCAACGTTATCCGCCCCGGCAACGCGCTCAGCGGGTAACAGCAGCTGAAACTGTATCGATCATTAGAGAACGCCTTGCCCTGGCCATGGATATCACTCACACGCTCGACCTCGAAGAGTCGTAATTCGAGGGGCTCGCGATCGCTGAGAGCACAGCCAACGCTATGGTGAGTGGCGAGCATCAAGGCCACCCAAACCAGCCTGCGCGCCTCATCGTTGTCGTCATGTGGTGGTGCACAGGGAGCTTCAGCGGGAAAGCCGTCAAGATCGACAGCGGTCTCGGTCTTAGGTGTACAGGAACAAGTTTGCGGATACGAATAGCCAGGCGGGCGAGCGATGATGGGAATTCCAGTGTCAGTGCGTAGAGAGCGGTCAGGGTGTGCGGCGTCAAGAGCGGGGAGTCGAAGGGCGGCCAAAAGAGTATCGAGCGTCTGAACAGCCTGCTCTGCGCGATACGGAAGGTGGAGAGGATGAGCTGACATCTCGAATAGAGCCAGGCACTGGGATGACACTATCAGCACTGTGGCTTCATCGGGAAAACATGTACATACCATAGCGGCCTCAGCCAATTGAAGATCGATTTGCCTAGCGTCACGAGCGGCTTCAAGGGCACTTTGCGCCTGGTCACGAAGGAGCAGGGCCTTGTCCCGCCCATCCTGACCACGCTCTGACTCCGAACTCATGACGAGGGTAGCAAGGGCGCACGCGGAAAGAACTAAGGGACGGTGGGGATTACGGAGAACAGCAGAAGGGTCCAGAAACGATAACCAATAGCTGGAGGATCGAACGCTACTCACAAAGTGGTCAGCTGAGTACGACTGAGTCAACAAGACCGAGGAGACACACAGGGTATTCAAGTCGGAGGCAATAGCTTCAATGCTGGATACGGATAGCTCTGGTCAACCGTCGGCCTCTGAGAGCGATGGAAATGGCGTACGCAAGCTCAGGTTTGCTATCATAGGTGTCGAGCAGCTCTAACCACCACACTTCGTGTGTGGTGAGGGGTATAGTTGGACGAGCATTCTGAGGCGCATCAATAAAGGGGACGAAAGCTGGGTTGGTGGTATCCATCGGAGCCTGAGGAGCCAACGGGGGGTGCTGGGGCCTCTTCAAAAATGCACGATCAGCCAGACATCTAGTACAACAGGTAGAGCCAAGTGGACGCACCCTCTGAAGGTACAGATCGTTCGTGTTGGCCCCGGGGCGATATGAAGGCGGTAACGAAAGAGATGGCAAAGGTAGTGACAGCTGGGGGGTGTGGAGATCGAGGTCTTGCTCAGCCTCTTCGACTTTAGCCTGGCAGATATGGAGTTAGCAATGAATGCAATGTGAACGGCAGACCGGGCCACTTCGCCACTCGCTGGCTTTATGGGAAGGAGGAAGAGATTTACCTTGACCTCGGATTCTGTTCTGCGCCTCTTCTTCGGCGGGGGTGGCACAGCCGACGAGGCCTCGGTGTCGTTGGCGTCAGGTGGAGGCTGCATACGCTTCCTGCACGACCGCTGTCGTGTGCCCGGGCGCTTGTCGGGGCCGCGCCGCTTGGGCTGGGCGTCGTACTCGCACGGATTGTTGCGCCGGAGGCAGTTGTTGCATTCGGGCCGCGTTGAATCGCACTTGATTTTTCGCGCACGACTGGTAACGATTCGTCAGCAGGGAGATCACAGATAGCCGATTGAGGTGGATCATAGAGGCAAAATAGACTCGCGCGTAAACGCGGACGCGCCGGGCAGTCAAGGCAACCGACGGTCCCGCCTACGTTGCCTAGGACAATGGTCGGTATGATCGGGGAAGAATTTCTCACCATTGACGACAAGCGATGACGATGTTCGAGATCTCCTTGCGCGATCCGCGGCCAGTCGCGCGCTGCGAGCCTGACCCCGAGGGTCGTGAAGGGGAAACGGGAGAAATCGGGGATATAGCGTCGGAGCCGCGCGAATCGTCTCCTCCCAGTGGCGACGAGCCTTGCTGCTTGCCCAAGGAGACAGATCTGAGCTGTGGCGGGGAGTCCGGCCCGCCGGCGGCAAGCGGAGGCGGCATCGGCGGGAGAGCGGAGGCTTGTTGCTGGGCGCCGTAAGGTCGGTGACGACTCTGCACGCCCGAGGGTGGCGGAAGGAGCTGGGGATAGCGCATGGATGACGAGAAGTCGAAATTTGCAGAGGTCGAAAGCGAAGAGAGGCTGGGAGGCTGAGATTGAGATGGGTGCATAGGCTGCTGCCCATGCGAGTAATCGTATAGATCGGCAGAGTGTGGTTGCTGCAGACTAGAAGTCGTAGCCGGGGTATCGGAGTAATAGTACGGAGGAGAGTCATAATGTGCGGAGCCCATGCTCGAATGAGAGGATCGATGACCACTTTGAGGGCGTAAAGCCTCAGTAGCATCCAGAGGAGGGTAGCGCTCGAGCGTAGATAGCCGAGTGTCGTTGTAGAGTGGCCGCCGTGCGTGAAGGTACGCGGCGCTGTTGTTATCTGAAGCAAGATGCGACTGCTGCGTATGTTGGGCCGGCGCATTATACTGCTGCTGCTGTTGTTGTTGCTGCTGCAGCGAGTGCGCGTCGTACGCGCCGGGCGAGTGGAGATCCGAGCTCTCAGATGATGAGTGCATGCCGTCTTCCCGCAGCGGTCTATGCGACAGATAAAGGTCGTGGTGGGTCGCGCTCACGACCATAAACGGCCAGAAGAGCCAACGCAAGACGCGAGCCCGCGTTTAATCGGGGGAGGAGAAAGTTCAGAACGGAGAGGGTGACGCGAAGACGCGTTCCGACTTTTCAGAAGAAGCAGGTGAGAGCGAGGCGGTTAGGAACCAACGGCCGGGACCGCGTGTAGTAGCGCGACGCGCGATATGTGTGAGGAGCCGCAGTCACCGAATAGCAACCAGCTCCGGGCGGCGCGTACCTCGCCACTTCGATATACACGAAGCTCGGGCCAGCAGCTGTCGTCAGCAGTCGTAGTCGCGGGGAAAAGCAGAGCTGATGGCGAGACTCGAACGCGCAACCTCAAAAAGCATTCCCCACGTGCGAAGTATCGCCGGCGCACCACCAGGCACATCTCCGGCACCGACGCTGGCCACTTGACGGCCCAACAAAAACTCAAAAGCCAGAGCCACGCGCCGCGTGAAATTCATCTCTTCGAAACATGAGCCAGAGCGCTCCGATAAGCAGGCGCGCGCACGTCGCGAGGCAGCGGGTCACCATCCCCCTCTCTCCGGCCAATAATCTTCGTTTATCTCGCGGAGAAAGGGGGCGCACAGGCTCACTTCCGGCTCGTTCGGTCCCTCGAGACTCATCGGATTGCTTTGTGTTGCCCTTTTGGTTGGAGCAGAGAACCCAACAAACTGTGATCGTGGCGCGCGCGCATCCGCGTCGGGTGCCCAGCAGCTCGGCTCTCTTCAACGTTGTGTGCTTCTTCAGATCCTCTTCAGGAGTGACTTTCCCGCGGCGCATGAAGGATTGAAGCGGGGCGGTAAAATGCGGAGTACCTATGTTGTCCGGCCACGGTCATGCGTGCGTATGGGGGACGGGGAGGAGAGCATGCACAAGCGCTGCGGAAGGCCACATCCGTTAGCACTTGTCCGAGCGACAGCGGCACGGAGGCAGACGATACACGTACCGTCGGACTCGGTAGGCTTTGCCAGGGCCACTAAGGACACCGAGGAAAGCCGCCTTCGGTGTCTGTGCCACAGTCGACCATGGTGTATGTGGGTCCCTGAGGGCGACAACAACCGATGAAGTTGCCGGCGAGCCCAGTCTGCCGTGGATAATCGTTTACTGAGATGTATTGATTACACCGACGTATCCACTCGCATTCCCCCGGCGTCTTGCGAGCTCTCGTCCACCCTTGGCGACTGCGCAACCAAGTTCAACCCTCGTATCCCTGCTAGTCCCTCTAGTATACCGGGCAGCACACGACATAAGAAGCAGATGATCACGAGCCGTGGTGCACGGACCTTCCACCTTCGAAGTTAGAACTCAGGATCGATGAACTTCTCTTCTTCTGCGAGTTCGGCCGTCCACTGACACCCTCAAACTCGCGAACTGCCGCGCCGCCTCTGGGCACTTTGCCGGCGGAACAGACGCGAACGGGCCTGCAGTCGCGCACGGGTTATACTGAACAATCAAATAGGGTGTGGCGCGAGAAGTGAATCATTCATGTTGAACACGCGTAATACACTCGGCCCATGGCGTGCACAAACGTTTGACTGGAGTTGTAAGTCCGGAAGGAACATACGACCCAAGTGAATGGTGCCAAACGCATTACCCGATGCGATGATTCGTCGGGGTGGTGTTCGCATAGTTCCCTCGGGAGATTGACGTTATGGGGACGCAGCCATACAATTGTGATCTGTGCACTTGCTGTAATCAGTACCTAACCGGGTCTTTCCACAGTGTCAGAGCACGCAATACCAACGCAGGGTAGATTACGCACAGCAGTAGTTGCCAACAGATGATGTTGAAGATTGCATCGAGCACTTATCTGTAGATATTGGAGGCGCACGCATGGTCGATGAGCTTGTCGGCCCTACGTACAACCTGAACAGGCCGCGAGAGAGCTCCAAGACGAGGACATGGGAAGGTTGAAGAGCGGGCCGCCGGGAATCGCGGGCAGATAGGCCTGCCAAGGCACTAGATGAGTATAGGCGGAGATACGACGTTGTCATCTCTACGTATACACTAGGGAAAATGCAAGAAGAAGTTGATCAGTGCGCGACCAGTACGTCTGAGTGGCTCTGTTGTCCCAACAGGTGTCGGAAACGGAGGCCGTGCTTGCTAAATGCCCGCAGAGGCGTAGATGCGCACCTGCTCGCGGACACTGCGGTCGATGAAGACGGTAGGAGGCAAGCCGTCTGCCACGTCAAGCGTGTATACGATTCCGCACAGCTTCAGGGAATCATGATACTCGAAATGTTCAACGTGGCCCGATGCATCACCACTTGTGCTGATCCGAAGAGCATTTGAAAAGACTTGCGAGCATGAGGCTCGCTATGGGTGCGTATGGGTCCGGGGGATACCGGGGACAATACCCGGAGTCTGTACCATACAAAGGGGAGTGGTGAAGGGTCATGGAGGCGGGTTGGAGCGGTGCAAGCGTCCCAGAGCTGCGAACATCGAAGGGACATAGCGGCGACTCAGAAGATGTTGATGAGGTATCAACGGCTTCGACTGTCAATCGTGCGAGCGCATTGCCATGTTGAGCAATAGAAGAGCCATTGTAACGTCGCACTCATATATCTGCTTTGGCAGCGTGGGCTGCAATCGCGTCAAGCGGTGAGATGGTGGTCGTCGTCGTCGCCAGACGTCGGACGCGACTTGGGCAGCTCAACGCGCACCGAATCGTTCTCACGGCTGCTTGACTTTCACCACCACCACCTCCTGCTCTGCATTATGTTTGAACCTATTCGAGGTGGTACACGAGGTGGCCAGGCTGAGTTCAAATGGTCTGACGTGTCTGCCGACAAAGACCGAGAAGTACGTACTCAACGCTCAAACGTGCGGACTTGACCTGACGGGCATATCCAGAATTACTTGGGCCATAGCATCAATGCACCAACTGGCCGCTGGCAGAAGAACAAGGATATTCATTGGTATAATCGCGATGCGCAGGGGACACAGGCGGAACGGGATGAGGAAATTCGCAAGATAAAGGAGGCGGAAGCGGAGGCCATGTCTGTTGCATTGTGCGTAGCGCGTACGCTGTATCATGTGCCTTACTGATATTATATACATCATCCAGAGGTTTTGGTCCATCTGGACCCGGCGCAACACAGGCTGCGGCTGGTGCTGCGACTGGCGCCAATGCTATTGCTGGACCTGCAACAGTGGACCCTGACGCTGCGGCAAAGAAGGCGGAGAAGGAGGAGAAGCGGAGGAAGAAAGAAGAGCGGAAGCTTGAGAAACAGGCAAAGAAGGAGAAACGTCGCGCCGAGCGAGCTTTGAGGCACGACTCTGAAGGGCGTCGCGACGACGACAGCGACGAAGAGGTTGATCGTCGCCGAAGGGACAGGTCACGCTCGCGTTCGCCTCGTAGACATCATGATCGCGAGGGGAGCGACCGGCCACCTCGGAGACGGTCACGAAGTAGGGATGATAGGACGAGGGACTATGGTGACCGCGAACGCGAATTGGAGAGGGAACGTGATAGACGTAGGTGGGAAGACAATGCACGCCGAGAGGCCCCAGGAAGCGGGCGCTGGGGTCGTCGTTGAGTATCTTTGCCTCATGCTTCATCTCATGTCATGTATCAAGCAACTCGCTTTAGGATCTGCAAATTCAATGTCCATTGAGTTGGTGCGACCAGTCCTGTAGACGATGCCGAACTCAGTTGGCCGCTTCATGTATAGACCCACATCTCGTGTCCTAATATCTGCTGATGATTCCGCGAGTGTAGGGCGTGGCTCATTCACTTGTAAGTGTAATATCTGGGCGATCTTAGAACGTCGGAAACTGCGCCCGGCCCGATGAGCCTGAGCTCTGATGTCAACTTTGCCTATCGGTCCTTGAACTGTGGATGCGCGACGGTGCGCATTGTGCACGTTGGTGTCGTATCTAGCTAGCAGCCGTGCTCTTTGCTTTCCGGCAGAACGTCATGATGATCGATCCATCTGCGGCTCCAGCATGTTCATCGATCCCGCATCCGACCTTTACGCACGCGCGAGTGGTGGGCTACACGAGGCAGAGCTCTGAACTTTGCAGGCCTGAACGTACGCAACCTGCAGCCTCGTGTGATTGGCTTGTGACTGTTATCGCCCGCGCCTTCTTTGATCGATACAGCACCGACCCGAATCACGCTGCTCTCGGCACACGGATGCTCTGCGGATGCCTCCCGCACGCATCAGGCGTCAAATTCCAGCAAAGGATCGTCGCGCGTACGTGCTCTGCGCCGGCTCGGGGCTCTCATCTGTGGCCCGCACGCTCACGCTAGCCTAGTCCGGTATCGATGGTTATCGCGCGACTCGCGGGGGCCGATCAGGACGTTCTGCAGCGCCAGAATGCATATAGCTCGGAGAGCGCTGACGACCCCAGCGTCGTCGCGCACGAATCCTCGGGTTATCTACACAGCCCAACCCGCACTTGATCAACCATGACCGTCTACGGCATGCCCCTCTTCCTCGAGGACATCTCTGGTTCGCTCGAGGGTTCCGACTTCGTTGACATCCACGGCCGCATGAAACTCACGTTACGGTGTACGCTCCGCGATCGGTCTCGGGCGGTGTACATGGTGCAGAACGACCAGTCGCACTCGCGTTCACCCTCGGCCGTGCTTGACTTTACACCTCCGGGTGGGCTGGGAAGCATCATCGTCGGGAATGCACGACCTATGCCTATGGATCAATATCTGTGCAAGGTATCACGTTTCGGGAGGTTCGTTCTGCGTAATAATGCACGAGTCCTCGTTCTCAGCTGACGCCCCGTGTAGCTCGAAACACCGACGGTTCACAGCTTCTGACGGACACACCTACACGTGGGCGCATAGAGGCAAGCCTGACTTTGAGTGGACGGTAAGCTCTATTGATACTAGCTCGGCTTCGTTCCCAGCTTATTGTGGGCACTGTAGTGTTCGAATGATCAGGACTTCCTCGTTGCGCATTACGACTTGAAGACGCCGGGAGAGAACTACATCAACTCTTCCGGCTGCACGCTTACGGTGGATGAGGCGTATCTGCACCTCGTAGACGGTACGCTTGCCTATTCGTGCACACTCGACGTCTTCTGATGATCCCCCAGAACTACTCGCATCACTCGTAATCATGCGGCATATCCACGAGCGCAACCTCTAACACTTATTCGCGATCCTCCACCGCCACGCCTTTATCCTTATAATTCCTTTGCACCCTGTTGTATTCTGCCTCCATGCACTCGCTCACGCCTCTTCATGTACACTCGTGTACGATTCATTTCCGTGTATGATTCCGATGGACGAGCTTGACTGTATCCCATTCGACTCAATGTAGCCTACTCTCATATGTTGTAGTACCTAGTTATCTTTAGGCGCATCCTCCGCGTCGCCGTACCGGATATATTATCCTTTCCTGTTGTTGAAACGTTCATAGAGCACAAAGATGAAGCAGGTCCGTATAGTCCGCGGTACCGAGATGAAGACGTACCTGGTGAGTAGCTATACAGTCGCGTCACCACAAGTCCGTATATCCGAGGGACGGTAAGGGATGGTCCTGCTTGACTCCCGCAAGATGAGCTCGGCCGGAGTTGTGGACGGGCACAAGCCGAGGCACGAATGGGAAGGCGGCGTCTATTGACAGGAAGGTCGGATCGCTGAACGGATGGGGTTCGGAGGTAGGGTACCGAGGGTTTGTGTGGGTGGAAGCATATGGCAGGCGCCCACATAGAGAACGAGCGTTCGTCACAGGCCCACAACGGAGGGAGTCGGAGGGACAGCACAAGGTGGGAGACTGTGAGAGCGAGGAGCAAGTCGGATTCAGCAGAGCGAAGACGTCCGACGGCGTTTGCCGCAGTATCAACTTCGTCTGTAACGCGCCGATCCCAAGCTGATCCGTATTCCTCGAGTGCTCCGTGTAGGGATCGGCAAGCCCGAGTCAAAGTATACGCAACCTTGTTATCAATCGTGGTGTACGGTGCGTCGGGTATGAGTCGGTCACGACAGGATGAGGAGTATAATGCGTATGTCTAAAGCTCTGCTATGATGAACAAGCAAGAACTCTGATCTCCAAAGCCTCCGAAGTCGTTCAGTCAGGCGTGTTGGCGTGTTCGCGTAGATCCGTCCCTCCGAGTCAAAGAGAACGGCCAAGAGAGGCTCAGAACGTCGTCGACGACGGTCAGCGATGCAAGCACCCTCTAGAATCGTCGGTGTGGCGGGG